GGCCTCCCTGTACACAAGTATCAACCACACAGGCGGGATGGAGGCAGACAATTTTTGACACAGCATAGCACCGTACCGGTTGCACAAAAGCACTTTATCCTTGATTTGTTAGAGTTCGCGATGAACCATAACTACTTCTGGTTCAACAAATCATATTACCTACAGATTAAGGGTGTTGCAATGGGGGCTAAATTTGCCCCCAGCCTCGCTAATCTCTTTATGTCCAGTTGGGAGGAGGATTTAATCTACACCAAAGATTGGCCGGAACTGGTTATGTACAAAAGATACATAGATGACATCTTCCTCCTATGGAATGGTGAAGAAGAGGCATCGATACATTTTTTTACGACACTTAATAATAATGACCTTAACATCAGCCTCACCTACACTTACAGCCAGCAAGAGATAAACTTTTTAGCGGACACAGCTATTTAAGCACTGACGTCTGTTACACGGTTGTTGGCCTCCCCTCTGATGAAGTGCCGTAGCACGAAAGGCCTCAGGAGGAGCCGACAGCACGTGTGAAGTCATACACCGCCGCGCGACCATGAGGAGGGCGGCGGCCATTTTACTCTAGGGTCAGTACACTATCCCTGTCTATTCATTTTTGACATATATATGTACCTGTACCCATTCTACATTTTTATTCTGGAATAAAGCATTACCTACTACACTATGCGCACTCCCTCTTTGTTTTAACCCTCTATTGAGGGTTTCATATCCACAGCAGCATTTTTTATCCAGAGGAAAGAATCCATCTACCCAGGCTGTTCATCCGACATTAAGGAGACCTCTGAGCCCTGCTGTATACCACTTCACCCAAGTTGGATGATCCATATCCTAGAGGGATGTCCTGCTATCTATCCGGTGTTATCCACTTCAGTTGATTATTATTTACATGCGCATTCCTATTGCGCGGTTGGTGAGTGCGCATTTCTGCTATTTTTACCAGTCAAGAGTATTACAGCAGAGGAAGTTTTACTGGTGCCGCACATTAGATGTATTACATGAACTCTATATCTTTTATTATTAACTAATTAATTTATCATTGATGCTGCTTCTGAGAACCACTATACGAACTTAAGTGCATTGATTAATCGTATACTATTGATAGCGCTGCACTCATGCATTAAGCATGCACGTACGATTGCAGCCTCTACATTAAGTATGCATGCACGAATACAGTTTCAGCATAATGCATGTATGAATATAATTTATGCATTAAAGCAGGGGTGTCAAACTCCATTTTATCATGGGTTATATCAGCATTATGGTTGTCCTCAAAGGGCTGGTTGTAACTTTAAGACTAGATGTCCAGAGCACCCCATCTCCCATTACATCAGATGTCAAGAATCCAACACCCTCCCTAACATCACTGTGCACCACCTCTGGGGACAGAGCTGGAAAGCATAAAGTGCAGGGTCTGGAGTAGGACATGAAGAAGAGTGGAGTCAGTTACCAGAGTCTGCTGAATGCAGAGACCAATGGAGGTAGAGATGATGGGGGGTGCTGCAGCTGCACTGAGAGGTGTAGGATTTGGCAGAAGAGTTCTCCTCTCTGCTGCCGACTGCTGAGGCAAGTTGGGGGGTGGAGACAAGAGGGTACCTGCAGGAGAGGTATAAGGGCTACATGAAATGGCCTGGAGGGCCAGATTCTGCCCGCGGACCTTGTGTTTGACACGTGTTCATTAAAGTGTTACTAAACCCAGGACCCTGAATTCACTATATCTGGTCTCCCATAGTGCACAGAAGATGGAAATGCAATTATTTCAGTAAATATAAACTGCTAAATACCTTTTCCCATCAGAAGCTAGAGCAGTCTTGTGGCTTCTATCAGTGTTCAGCCTGCTCTAGGGGATGCAAAACCCCTGACCTCTGTCTGACCTGTGCTGATCACATGCACTCTCCCAAGAAAATAAAAAACCTCTCAAGCAATACACACTAAACTGAGCATGTGCAAAATGCCTACGGTTCAGTCTGCCTTATCAGGAGATAATCCATCCCCTGTACTGTGACCGCAGTCTCTGGCCATCCCCTGTACTGTGTCCGCAGTCTCTGGTCATCCCCTGTACTGTGTCCGCAGTCTCTGGTCATCCCCTGTACTGTGTCCGCAGTCTCTGGTCATCCCCTGTACTGTGTCCGCAGTCTCTGGTCATCCCCTGTACTGTGTCCGCAGTCTCTGGTCATCCCCTGTACTGTGTCCGCAGTCTCTGGTCATCCCCTGTACTGTGTCCGCAGTCTCTGGTCATCCCCTGTACTGTGTCCGCAGTCTCTGGTCATCCCCTGTACTGTGTCCGCAGTCTCTGGCCATCTCCTGTACTGTGTCCGCAGTCTCTGGCCATCCCCTGTCCTGTGTCCGCAGTCTCTGGTCATCCCCTGTCCTGTGTCCGCAGTCTCTGGTCATCTCCCGTACTGTGTCCGCAGTCTCTGGTCATCTCCCGTACTATGTCCGCAGTCTCTGGTCATCTCCCGTACTATGTCCGCAGTCTCTGGTCATCTCCCGTACTATGTCCGCAGTCTCTGGTCATCCCCTGTGTGCACTCCATTGGTTAAGAATATTTTTTTCCCTGTTTTTCTCCTCTAAAACCTTGCAAAGCATGGCACAGCCAGACCAAACAGCACGCTGCCCACAGTGGCCACCGGGAAAATGGCCAGATAGTCAGATTTTTCAAAGAAAAATGTAAACTTACCATTTCCGCCACAGGACTTTGAATCATTCCAGGAGTCCAACCTTCACCCATCACAGCGTACATTGTCATGCAGACCTTCAAGGACTCGGTCCTCTTAAAGTGGGGCCACTGCCTTTTTTTTTTTTTTTTTTTTTTTTTTTTTTAACTGCACAGGGTTCCGTTACGCTGGGTCCAGTGCCGTAAGGATGCATTACAGGCAAAACCCCAAGGATTCTTCTCCTTATCCACTGAGGTTGTTCTTTTTGAGTTACTGTGCTGTACAGGCCTGGAGTGAAATTGGCCATATGGCCCCACCATGAAGGAGGACACAGGACAGGACAGTAGAGTTCTTACTTGAGATCTCAGCAAGGGAATTTCTACTGGCAGATAGAACACTTAAGATGAGGCCCAGGTACTCCAGACAATTTGTCAGAGTCAGTGTTGATTTTTTGGAGATTGAGAATCCAACCAAAGGCTTACAACAGCTGAACTGTCTGCTGAATGTTGGCCTATAGAACATGGGCAGAACAGGCTCTCAACAGGAGGTTGTCCAGGAATTCTGGACTGTGAACATCCTGAGACGTAAACAGGCCACAAGGGAGCACCACAAATTGAAAGTGTTTGTAGCTTTGGGTGATGACATACTGAACCCAAAAGGTCGGGCATATCATGAACCCAGATGGATGTAAAGGCTGAAAGAGGTTCCCCCCATTTAAAGAAGTTGGGGCGCCTTGTCATTGTGCAGAAGGCTTGGAACCGGGCTTAGCCAACTTTGTCAAAGGCTCATAATGGAACGGTTTTTCTGTTGTAGGCTTGAGAGGGACAAAAGGAAGCCTTCCTGAGTAGAAACTTAGAATTGTGTCTTCTAGGCAACAGGGTGCTCTTACCTTAATGACTTTTGTGATGGAGCATTTTGTCCAGACTACCAAAGTTTGCATATAGCCATAGGGGTGATAACAGGTTGCTTTGTCTGACCAATCAGGGCAAAAGAAGATTTGAAAAGCATGAAGTCTCTTTAAAAGCTAGCATGGCATCTTTAAAAGCTAGGAGATTCTTTACAAGCACCATCAAGGATCTGTTGAGGCAGTCAATAGCTAAATCAACATCTGGGACCATTTTTTCAGAAAGGAGTTCTTTAGGAGATATTTTTGATCAACAAGTAAATGTTTCTGGATGCTCCCAACATCATGTTTTCTCCGAGGGAGTGAATAGGAAAAAGTCTTGGTTTCTGCTTTTTAAGGGAGCCCTTACTGGTGACCTTAGGTCATGAAGCTTCTGGGAGCTCTAGCACCAGACATGTTCTTACCATATCAATCACCACAAAAATGGTGTCACAGAGTTTTGACAATAAAACATCAGGAGGCTTCTCCTGCAAAGAAACCTCCGATTCAAAGTAAGCGGTCTCTAACTTCATTTATCTTTTGCCTCGGCAGCCCACTGTCCTCTTTCGGGTAAAGGACCCCTGCTATCAGAAACAAAACGTGGCAGAGGAGGAGAGGGTGGCTTACAACCTTGAGGACTTTTATAAGGTCTGCAATTTGTCCCATTAAAACAGAAACCCAGCAAAATCCTCCTTACTTAAGACTCGTACACACGATGAGAATATTGGACGAATGATCACCCGTTTTCTTTTTGCACAGTCTCATATCGAAAATGAGTAGATCACTAAAGTTCCAAATATCGAAAATGAGTAGATCACTAAAGTTCCAAATATCGAAAATGAGTAGATCACTAAAGTTCCAAAAATTCTCCCAAGACAGAATACACCTTCGGAGGTAATGTAATGCATTATATGCTTTCGTTTCCGAGTATGTGCAGTCTTGGTCACTTGTTTTTTTATGGTCGAATATTGTACTGATTAAGCTAAAATCTTCGTTCTGCAATCATACGAGAACAATTTTGGCACTTGTCGCTTTGGATAATTTCACATGAACTGTTGTCATCAACTCTCCAAAGCCGTGTACGAACGATCAGATTATTGGACAATCACTCCACAAGCAGTATTTTTCATCCAATTTTCTCATCCTGTGCACCAGGCTTTAGGCAGGAGGAGGAGTGTGGGACAGCAGACAGGCAACAGAATTGTTTGAGGAGAAAAGAGAGTCAGATGAGGACAGCTAAGTAAAGTATCCGAGGCAGGGGAAGCAACCCCCTCGCCTCCCAGCCCCACTGGTAGCCAAAGCAAAACTAGAACCCTTTTGAACTTCCCTGAAATGTGTTACAAATGAATTATTAAATTGCCCCCACAATGTTGTGAAGTTTCTGAAAAAAAAAAAAAAGAAGATTTGGGAAGCTTTAGCTTAGATTCCCAAGTAACTACTATGCTCTGTACCTGTGATTTCTTTGTATCACTGGGAAGCAGCAAACTTCCATTCTCCCTATTGAAAGAACGTGTCTTCGTTTTCACAGGCTCATTGGATTCACGGTAAAGCTTGACAGGAGGTGGCTTCATCGCTTTTTGCAATAGGTTATAAACACCAACCGTAAGACTGACATCATTATCCAACTTCAATGAGAGTCTGCAAAGAATGAAAATAAAAACAGTAAGGTGGCATTTCAGAAAAAAAAAAAAAAACTTTACCTAAAGCTAGCCACACACTGATCACACTGCACTTGGTTTTCTGATGAACTGGCCAAAACTCAAGCAGTGGGTGGCCCTCTTCATCCAACATCCCTTAAAAATGGAAAGTCTGGGTGGATAATTATTGGCCAAACAGTGACTGCGACCAGTCAGCTACAGTCACTGTCTGGCAGAGCCCACTGTATTCTGACAGCCTTTGTAGCTGGCTGTTAGAATACAATAGTCTTAGCAGAAGAATTGTCCATCTGTGTTTAGTATAGTAGGAATTTTAATACCTGTAAAATTCCTTATCTGGTTGCACAGTATAGAACAGATTAGATATTCAGAGACCCTGGGTTATTGACTACTAGCTTTAGGTGAGTGGACTCTTGCAAAAGCTTTGCTGAGCACATCCCCCCGACATTCTTCTATAACCACCACTCCACAAGCCCTCAGGGTTTTTGTCAGGATGATTGCGCTCCCACACGAAAGTAAGTATTTGAGCCTTTAGTTCCAATTTAAGGTCCGAGCATGGGATTTTAGGCAGGCAGGTTTATCTGCTAGAAGGAAAAGTTTTGCCTTGACTGTGTTTAGAATGAGGCCCAATTATTCTAGACAAAGGGAAGGCTGGAGAGAAGATTTGATTATCCAGCCAAAGGCGTGAAGTTAGTCTGGATAGCTGTTTTGAGGGTGATGAATCCGTCAGAAGAAGGTCATCTAGGTACCCCATGACCTCATTGCCCCGAGTTATTAAGAGGGTGAATAGGGGTGCAAGTATCTTTGTGACTATTCAGTGAGCAAAAGGACAGGCCAAATTGTAGAGTGATAAATTGGAAGCATTTATCTCCTACTGCGAAGCACAAAAAATTGCAGATGAGGTAAATGAAATGGGACTGTGCAGGTAGGGATCTTAAATGTCTATTGATGCCCGATTACCCTCATCTCAGAGAGGCAATTACTGATCTGCAATTTCCATGCAAAACTATAAAAACGAGAATGTACTTGTTTAGGGACTGTAAGTCCAGAATATGAGAAATACCCCTATTTGGCTTTCTTACCATGCACAGGTTTGAACAGAATCCTTTGAACCGGTTTTCAAGTGGGACTAGAGCAGCCACTCCCTGGGACACAAGATGGTTCAGGGTGGTCTGAGAAGAGAAGAAAAGAGTGAGGGGGTAGAGTCTGAAACTCCATTTGTACCCCTTTGAGAGAACTGATTGAACCCATAGATCTGGGATATCTGTGTCCGAGAGGAATGCACCAGACATTCCCCTCCTCTTATAAGAGTGTGAGGGCGTTCATTTATTGTGAAGAAGGCTTTGGAATAGACTTGGTGGACTGTGTTCCAAATCTTGTGCTGAAAGGAAAAAAGGCTGAATTTTGGCTTTGAAGATGTGGAGAGTGATGAGGCGCTCTTCATTTAGAGTAAGTAAAAGGCTCCAAGGGAGGGATAAACCTTCCAATATGGAAAGACTTTTCCTCTTTTAAGAACTTGTCAAGTGCATCATCAAAGAGATGTCCTCCCACAAAAGACATATGAGTGAGGAATCTTTTACAGACAGCTTCAGCTGCCAAGGGTTTTAGCCATAAGGTTCTGCGCATTGTCATGGAAAGTGGAAATTTGTGTCATGACTTGTTCTAGGGCAGGGGTGTCAAACTCAATTTCATCAGGGGCCACATCATTAGGTTGCCTTCAAAGGGCTGGATTTATCTGTAAGACTTTGTAGTGTAGAGTGCAGGGCTTTAGGGGTAAGCTACATGCAGAGTTCAGGAGTATGTGTTGTGAATAGTTCAGAAGTGTGCTGTGTACAGAGTGCAGGGCTTAGGGGTGTGCTATGCACAGAGCGCAGGGCTCAGCCCTCTTTCAAAGACTGTCCTCCTCTTTTCTACCTCTCCTTGTCAGCTTTGACCTCTGCAACACTGCCACTTTCCGGCTACAAAAGCCCTGGGTATGAGGGCCACATGAAATGGATTGGTGGGTCGGATTCGGCCCCCGGGCCTTGTGTTTGACACGTGTTCTAGGGCATCAACACAGAAAAGTAGAACAGATGACAAAGTTTGTAAGTGTTCAGTCAGAAGTTGGTCCTAGAATACAGGATACTCTTGGTTGTTCATTTCACTAGTCCAACTAGCTGCAGTTTGACAAACCGAAATTGCAGCAATAGGCAGTTGCAGGACTGAACCTGCAAAAGCAAAGTTTAAAATTTTCTGTCTACAGAATCGTTAAAAGAAAAAAAAATCTTCTATATGGATAATATGTTCATTTAACAGTCCATTTTTTAATTAATTATTTTCCTACTGGATTTAGTGTGGTAATGATTCTCAAAGGAGTCAAATTCTTTGCAGGGGTATCCCAATTGTTATAAATTGCCCATTCCATTTGTTTACGAATGGGGCATGTCTTTTTAGACTTTGCGGTTCTCTTCGCACCTAGAGGGGAACGGAGAAACGGAAGCAAATCAAATACAACTATGCTGAGGCTTTTGCATACAGAAGAAGTGAGCATGTCTACATTGCCAAGCATTTTGCATGAAGCCATAGTATCATGTGAATAGGAGCCTGGGTGTGGGAAGTCCTCAGTAGCCTTCTCTATCACCAGCTCTAGGTCCTCTTCAGTCTCCTCTGTTTCTATCACTTTTTGAGCAGGCAGATCCACTTCCAACTCATAGAAGGTGGTGATGGAGAAGAAGCCTGGCGATCTTGAGCTCTGGATAAGAATAGTGGTTTTAAAGCAGTAGTAAAAACTATGCTTTTTCACTTTTACCTACAGGTTAGCTTATAATAAAGCTTACCTGTAGGTAAAATGATTATCTCCTAAACGTGCATCGTTTAGGAGATATTCACGTTTTTCAGCTGGTGAAGTCACTGTCGCATGCACGATGTGATCTGAATTGAGGGCACGGTGAATGTACTGTCAATCCAGAACTCTGCTGCGACTGTGACTCCCATGCATATGTGAAGCAGTGACCTCATCGCAGCAAGGCGATTCAAACAACAGGCAGCACAAGCCCAGAAGGAAGATCGGGTGAAGATGGAGGCACAGCAGTCCCAAAATTGACCATCCTGTAGCGAAGTCCTTGTAGAAAAAGGGCAGGAGAAAGTGCCCTAGTACCTCTGAACGGCTCTGAGCAGAAATGGTGGTGAAAGAAAGAGTGACGCGTGGTGAGATGTAGTGTTTTTTCATTTCATGCACTTAAGAAAAAGGTGAATTTTTACTGCCAATTTTGAAAGTTTAAACACCCTACTGAACTTCATCCTAAATAAGTTGTACCTGTTTATCTGCAGTATTCTTCTCTCTACATCCATTCAAAGCTTATAAAGCTTCTCCAAAGGTTCAGAAAAGAGGGGGCTGAAAAAAGCTGACACCCCCCCCCCCCCCCCCAAACAGCTCACAGGAACAGAGCTGAGGCTGTCAATCTGCTAGAGGTCCTTCCCCGTCACCATTTTTCTTTTGGTGTCAGGAAAACTCGTCAGAAGCGATTCCTGCTGACAGAGGAATAAAGCAGCAGACAGAAATGACACTTAGTGTTCCTAATAGACAAGTACACACTATAGAGGGATATGCTTTGTTCAAATTTCAGGTCCGAGGTTTACAACCACTTTAAATAAATACAGTGCAAGTAAAGGAGATACTGAGGGGATTAGACAAAAAAATTGAAACACAACGTGATTTGCAGGTATGAAAGTGACGACATGTTCTGCGTTGAAAGCAGAAGTGATGTAACATTCTTTTGCTTCTGCTGTGTGATGAGACACCTAGCTAACAGGTGGGAAGTCTCACTTTCCTCATTCACTGTGTGCGCTACTAGTAGTATGGAGTCACGTCAGAGCTTACTGAGCTTCAAAGAAGGCAAATTGTTGGTGCCTGCTTAGGTGGTGCCTCTATGACCGACGTTGCCAATTTATTTGCAGAGTCGCGAGATACAGTATAAAAGGTTATTATGATATGTACAGTTGCAAGGAAAATATATCGTCTGATAAGCTTAAGCGCAATCAACATGGTCAACTGACCAAAAGAGATAAAAAGGACATTGCGCAGGACTGTGACCCGGAACAAGGAAACAACTGCTGCAGAAGTAACTGCAAAGCTCAATCTCATCTAGTCTCGTGGAGAATGAGATTGAGATCAGGGAAAAGAAAAAAAAACTGGTTAAGAATAGAAAACCTCTCTGTAAGGGAAAAGAGGTCCATCACTTAAGGATACTAGCAAAAAACTAAGTACTTGTGGAGTGGCGTAGTGTTATAGGGGCTGTGCCCAGCAAAGATATTGCCAGTGTCCACCTGAAGGTAGCAGCCTACATAGCAGGGTCTATGAAAATCAAACCTGTGCCCTGTACTGTACAATTAAGATAATCTATTAGGCCTCATGTACATTGCTGCTCCTAAAACGTGAGTTTAGGAGCTTTGGGCGTTTTTTTGCCAAAGCCCCTGAACTCAACTCTATAAAAGCCTATGTGTCCATGTAGACATAAGCTTTTACTGGAGTTTAGGAGAAGCAGCGTTTAGGAGCTAGCCTCGTTTAGCACTTGGGCATTTATCCATGTCAATGGAAAATACTCTGGCCAATCAAATGAATAAACATCCAAGCGCTAAACGCGGTACTGCGTTTACACGTTTTTGCCGCATTTAGTGGTTTTCTGCTGCCAGGAGAGTTTAATGATTAGGTGAGTTCATGTGTACATGAGGCCTAAGTGTATGGCCATCTTAGACCATATAGTTTCAACAAATATAGTGCATTGAAAAATATTCATACCCCTTGAAAGCTGGTCAGAGTTGATGGGAAAATAGATGGATCCAAATACAGGGAAATCTTAGAAGAAAACCTGTTAAGAGTCTGAAAAAGACTTGAGACAGGGGTGGAGGTTCACCTTCCAGCAGGACAACAACCTTAAACATACAGCCACAGATACAATGGAATGGTTTAGATCAAAGCATATTCATGTGTTAGAATGGCCCAGTCAAAGTCCAGACCTAAATCCAGCTGGGAATCTGTGGCAAGAATTGAAAATTGCTGTTCACAGATGCTCTCCATCCAATCTGACAGAGATTGAGTTATTTTGCAAAGAAGAATGGGCAAACATTTCACTCTCTAGAAGTGCAAAGATGGTAGAGACATACCCAAAAAGACTTGCAGCTGTAATTGCAGCGAAAGGTGGTTCTACAAAGTATTGACTCGGGAGGTGAATACAAATGCATCCCACGCTTTTCAGATATTTGTAAAAAATCTGAAAACCATTTATCATTTTCCTTCCACTTCACAACTATGTGCCACTTTGTTTTAGTCTATCACATAAATCCCAATAAAATATATTTATGTTTTTGGTTGTAATATCACAAAATAATTTTTTTTTTTTTTATCAGATAATTGTTATTGAAAAACTCTCAAACAAAAAAGAGCATAAACAGAATACTCAGTATCTGTGAGTACTAGAAAATAAGAAAAACAAATAAAAAGAGTAAACAGATGGCTTCCATTTTCACACTAAAAAATACAATCTTGTAGGAATAACACAATATAGGTCTGCAGTTTAATTGGAAACACAGCTTGTGTAAGTAGATATGCTAACAGTGGATACCGCAATCGAACATAAAGAACATAAATCACAAATGTTATATATTAAGTTCTAAAAAATGTCTCAGGAGTCAGTGGAGGTAAAGGAGGAGTCGTTAGAAGAAAGCCTGGGGTCCCAGATTTTAAGGAATTTTTTTGGGCAACCTCTATGGTTGTATGTTCTTTTCTTCTCTCTTTATTGTGAAATTCACTGCTTCTCTCCATTGCGTTATCGTAGGAGGATTAGGCGATAGCCACTTTTGCAAAATAAGTTTGCGAGCAAGGTACAGGGTTCTGATCCATTACATATTATAATCCAAGGGTACACCTCCTCCTGGATAATACCATTCTTAGGGTTTAGAGGGACCTGCGTAGAACAAATGTTTAGTATGCCACAAATTGCGGCCCAATAACAATATAGTTTGGGACACCACCACAACATATGGATCAGTGACCCATTATGTACCACACAGCGTGGTCAGTTGGATGAAGAACATATTCCCAAATATTATGTGGGGCATAATGAACCCTGACACACAGCAAAATTGTAACTCACACCCAGTGTTCGCTCTGTATCAGCAGATCAGTGTTCTAAACGCTCTCTTTTGCACACACATTCTTTACTCCTTTTGGACAGATTGTCAAGATTAAATTAAGTAAACTGGCTGCTATCCTGTTTAGCAAAATCTCATACTGTAAAAAATTTAAAATATATTCTATACTAACTAAAGCGTAACTCCAGGAAAAACCTAAATATACAGGATGAAAAATATAGACAGGATCAGTTTTAGCTGCCAAAAAATTATATTTCAAACAGAAAAGCCAATCATATTTTGATGTATTTCAAGCTTGGTAATCATATGCATACTTGTACCAAAAAAAGTGGAATTATTTTCAAGCAATTAAAAGTACCTGCATAAGGCCCGCTTCTTGCTTTCCTTGGCCCGCACTCTTCTCATTAGGTCATCCAATTTCCTGGAAGCTGTATGCTGAACACCAAGGTCCTCATCCTCATCAGTGTTAACAATATCACGATAGAACAGAGAAAGTTTAAAACCACCAAGCTTTTCAAGGTGCAATAGATCCAAGAAAATTCCTGAAATTATAGAACATGCAAGTCAAATCCACCACAATGACCATGTGGAGAAATTTCCACTAGGTAATGCCAATATAAACACAGGGGGAGAGGGGGGAGAGGGAGGGGAGGGGAGAGAGGGGGGGGAGAGAGGGGAGAGAGGGAGAGAGGGGGGAGAGAGGGAGAGAGGGGGGGAGAGAGAGAAAGAGGGGGGAGGGGGAGAGAGAGAGAAAGAGGGGGGGAGGGGGAGAGAGAGAGAGAAAGAGGGGGGGAGGGGGAGAGAGAGAGAAAGGGGGGGGGGATGGGGAGAGAGAGAGAAGAGGGGGGGAGGGGGAGAGAGAGAGAAAGAGGGGGGGAGGGGGAGAGAGAGAGAAAGAGGGGGGGAAGGGGGGAGAGAGAGAGAAAGGGGGGGGAAGGGGGAGAGAGAGAGAGAGAAGTGGGGGAAGGGAGAGGAGAGAGAGAGAGAGAAAGTGGGGGGGAAGGGAGAGAGAGAGAGAGAGAGAGAAAGTGGGGGAAGGGAGAGAGAGAGAGAGAGAGAGAAAGTGGGGGAAGGGAGAGAGAGAGAGAAAGTGGGGGGGAGAGGGAGAGAGGAGAGAAAGTGGGGGGGAGAGAGAGGGGGGGGGGGGGAGAAAGAGAGGGGGGAGGGGGAGAGAAAGAGAGGGGGAGGGGAGGGGGAGGAAAGAGAGGGGGGAGGGGGGAGGGGAGAGAGAAAGAGAGGGGGGAGAGAGAGAGAAGAGAGGGGAGGAGAGAGAGAGAAAGGGGGGTAGAAAGAGAAGGGGGGGGGAGAGAGAGAAAGAGAGGGGGGAGAGAGAGAAAGAGAGGGGGGAGAGAGAGAAAAGAGGGGAGAGAGAGAAAAAGAGGGGGGGAGAGAGAAAGAGAGGGGAGAGAGAGAGAAAGAGGAGGGGGGTGGGGGAGAGAGAACGAGGGGGGGGGGGGGGGGAGAGAGAAGAGGGGGGGGGGGGGGGGGGGGGAGAGAAAGAGGGGGGGTGGGGAGAGAGAAAGAGGGGGGGTGGGGAGAGAGAAAGAGGGGGGGGTGGGGGAGAGAGGAGAGGAGAGAAAGAGAGGGGGGGGGGAGAAAGGAGGGGGGAGAGAGAGAGAGGGGGGGAGGAGAGAAAGGGGGGGGGGGGAGAGAGAAAGAGAGGGGGGGGGGGAGAGAGGGGGGGGAGAGAGAAAGACCGGGGAGAAGAGAGGGGAGGAGTTAAGAGAGGGAGGGGGGGAGGAGGGGGGAGAGAGAAAGAGAGGGGGGGGGAGAGAAAAGAGAGGGGGGGTGAGAGAAAAGAGAGGGGGGGAGAGAGAGAAAGAGGGGGGGAGAGAGAAAGAGAGGGGGGGGAGAGAGAAAGAGAGGGGGGGGGGGAGAGAAAGAGAGGGGGGGGGGAGAGAGAAAGAGAGGGGGGGGGGGGGAGAAAGAGAGGGGGGGAGAGAGAAAGAGAGGGGGGGGGGAGAAAGAGAGGGGGGGGGGGGGGAGGAAAGAGAGGGGGGGGGAGAGAAAGAGAGGGGGGGGGAGAGAAGGGGGGGGAGAGAGAAAGAGAGGGGGGGGGAGAGAGAGGGGGGGGAGAGAGAAAGGAGCGGGGGGGGGGAGAGGGCGGGGGGGGAGAGCGCGGGGGGGGAGAGGGAGCGCGGGGGGGAGAGAGGGGGGGGGAGAGGGCGGGGGGGGAGAGAGCGCGGGGGGAGAGAGAGAGGCGGGGGGGAGAGAGCGCGGGGGGGAGAGAGAGGCGGGGGGGGAGGAGAGCGCGGGGGGGAGGAGGCGGGGGGGAGAGCGGGGGGGAGGGATGAGCGGGGGGGAGAGAGCGCGGGGGGAGGGAGAGAGCGCGGGGGGGAGAGGCGGGGGGGAGGGGCGGGGGGGGGAGAGGGGGGGGAGAGGCGGGGGGGAGAGGGGGGGGGAGGGAGGCGGGGGGGAGAGAGAGCGGGGGAGGGGAGGGAGCGCGGGGGGAGAGAGCGGGGGGGGGGAGGGAGCGCGGGGGGAGGGGAGCGCAGGGGGAGGGAGCGCAGGGGGAGGGAGCGGGGGGGGAGGGGAGGGAGGAGAGCGGGGGAGAGAGAGCGGGAAATCGCAAACAGACAATTCTCAAACTACAAGAACAGGCAACACACTCCTGAAATTTTTCGAATAATAGATTAAAAAACAGGGCATACCTTAACACTAAAACGACTCTTCCTAGGAACAAGAGTCACTAAAATCCACTGCCCCACCAGGCACCAGGAGTTCTCAGTGATCCATAATTCATTAACCCCAAACATATTATCATACACACAGCCGCAAACAGCATCCAGGGACAACAGGAAATTATCACGGAAAAAAAAACTACAATTAAGAGATTGCACAACAAAAATTTCCACAATCCAAAGCAGGGTGGATTTGATTTAAATCAAACTGATTTAAATCACGATTTAAAATCACTAGTCAGTAAGGCTTGATTTAAATAATAGTTTTCTACATAAAGACTAATTCTTGCTGGTATAACTTTAATATGCAAGTAGATGAAGATTTTTTTAGAACAACTTTTCATATTAGTTTTTTTTTATCCGTAGTTTAATAGGTTAATCATTCATATTTGGACAACTTTTCTGTTGTACTTAGGAAGGAGAAAAATAATCATTACCTTAATAACAATTTAAATAGATTTATTCAACTGAAACAATAACATTACAGCATATGTTATTTGCTTAAACAAACATCCATGTTTGTTAACTAATTTGGCTAAACAAAATATATATATTTTAAGAAACTTAGACTGTCAGCCCCCTCCTCCTAACACTTCGTTTCACTTTCTTCTTGTGCAGATCTATTCCACTCCAAACAATCAGAAAAATATTGTTTCTATTCTATTCACTGAACTTCTTGAAACTTAGCACTGAAGGGGTTGATTCTGTATTCATAGGTTTGTAGAAGTTAGGATTAAGGTCTTTTTTCTTAACTCTGTTCATGTTATAACATTTTTGCTGTGAAGAAGAGGCATGTGATCTCCGCTGAGTCAAATTCAGTTTTGAGAACTGCAAACGTAAACCAAAGCATCTGTGATAATATCTTGTAGGCAGAGAAACTGCCCAATAATCTTACAAAAACCTCTGGAAGAGCATGACATTGTGAATGGATTAATGGAATTTATTTACCAAAAAAATTAAAACATATACAGCCTTATTCTACATAATTAAAAAACAAATCTTTATTTCATGATGGAATAACCTTTGGATGGTAATGTATTTTCCTCAAAAAGCATTTTATTTAAAAAAATCCGATTTAAATCAAAAAAAATCCGATTTTTTTTATTTTTTTTAAAAAATCATTGATTTTTATCCACCCTGATCCAAAGTATTACTGTCTTCCCTTCTTCCAAGGAAGGACATATCAAACTATATAATGAAGCGAATCAACACAGAGCTGGCAGATAAAGCAAGGTCAAAGCCTTCCATTCACCTGGCACAACATCCCTCCATAATGCCCCAACACCTCTAGGACAAAACAAACATCTCAACAAACAAGGGTTCAGTCACCTGGCAAGAGAATTCAAAGACATAATACTGAATAGAACTAACAACCCTGGATCTGACACCATTCTCAGACAAACACAGTTACAACTACAAGAAGACTCCAAGGCCCTGATTTACTAATGTGCCTAGACACATTTCCGTGGGATAAAGTCTACTTTTCATTAGAGTCCGTCTACTTTTAGACAGCAAAGACATTTACTAAAGAAATAGTCTAACAAGTAGACTCGAAAGCGAATTTAGTAACTAGGCACAATCCAGGAATCAGTCTAAAACAGCAGACATCCTAGAAGCACATCTAACAGAACAAAAAATCACTGCAGAAACATGTTCACATTGAAATTTGCTTTCCCAAATATCTGGACTAAAATAGTTTAAGGGAATTCATGACAGACAAGAACTAGACACTTTTCCAACATCTATGCAGGGATAGAAATGAGCATGTGCAGGACACAATTTAGCCGTCTGCTGTGGGCACTTTCTTTTCAGACGCTGTTTAATAGTAAATCTCTGTGTGGAGTCCTCTGCAAGACTGCACTCGATCACGTCTACTACTGTGTTTAACAAACAGCACTATTTGTAGCTAGGCGTATCTTTATGTATTCTAATTTGATTTCCTTAGTTCTATTGATTCTATTTTTGTTTGTTATCCTTTATAATTATTTCTGTAATGGTTTTACATATTTCGAATATCTAGATAATATATATATATATATATTGACAGCTGAATCTAAAAATAAAAAGGTCGGCAACTAAAAAAAAAAAAAAAAAAAAAAAACACGGCGTGGGGTCCCTCCTCCCATCCATACCAAACCCTTTGGGTCTGGGAAGCCCCATGCCAAAATAAAAAAAAAAAAAGCGCCCCCCTCCTGAACCATACCAGGCCACATGCCCTCAACATGGGGGGGGTGCTTTGGGGCAGGGGGGCTCCCCCCCAAGCATGCATGTGACCCCACCCCATGTGAAATCAATGATGTCACATTGGGCGGGGTCACTCAGATGATGTCCCCGGGTGGCCCCGCCTCTTACATATTTAAGAGCTGTCAACAGAGCTCAGAGCAGAGGGCTGGAAGCCATCGTCGGGAACGGAACCTTTTTTTTTCTTTTTTTTCGGGTCGCTGGCGGCTTACATTGTGATTGACGGTTGATCTACTCATTGACATGGGGGGGCCCCCTTATTAAAGGGGGTTTCCAGATTCCAATAAGCCCCCCACCCGCAGACCCCCACAACCACCAGCCAGGGATAAGGGTCTGGTATAGATTTTGAGGGGGACCCCATGCCATTTTTTTTTTTTATTTTGGCGTGGAAGTTCCCCTCTAAATCCATACCAGACCCGAAGGGCTTGGTGTGGATAGGAGGGGGGACCCAACGACGGTTTTTTTAATTATTTGTTTTAATTACTAGCAATTCTTTTACATTCAGCTGTCAGTGGGGAACATGTGGTATTTTAGTAGTGACAACCATGTGTTAATGTTTCAGCTGTCAGCGGGGTTCCCCACTGACAGCTGAATGTAAAAGAATTACTGGCAATTAAAAA